TTGCTGATAGAAAATCCATGCAAAAAAGCAGTCCTAACTAACCGCTTTAAGAAGTACATGAATCAACCATGTTTTTCAAGTCTACGAATAGCCCGAAAACCCCTGTCTAGGTTATATGCTAAGCAACACAGAAATAACAGCTCTTACAGTAGGGACATCAGCAAGTTAAAGCTATCTGGTGAGCTCTCTTTTCAGGATCCTTACGACCTAAACATTTTGTAGCTTATCACCATAATGTCGTCCTGAACAAAATAGTACGTTGTCGGCATTCGCACTCTACAAGTAAGTACAAAATTAGTCTTTATCTAATAATCTATTATTTACCTGATAGCAATAAAGAGCTCATTTTTTTTAAATTCTGCCGTCGGCATCAGCGTGGGCATCCTTGGTTGTGAGCGAAAAGTCAACATCTTGTGGCCGAGAAAATGTGAAAGGTCTAAATAGAATAAATAATAAAAATTTTTGGCTGCGAATGAGAATCGAAACTACGCCGTTTGCGTCGCAAGCAGGTGCTCTATCACTCAGCCATGCGTTTACTTGGGAATGCAGGCAAAATAACGTCCATGCTTTAAAATCGTACGCGTTCTGTACAATATGGTGGGGTAAAATGATACGTGGGTCAAAACGCGACATTTAAAGTTTGCCGGCCTCTGTAGCCAACACAAAAACTACTCTTCTTTGTTGCTCTTTTCCACCGATAATTACTGCTCCTTGTCTACCTTTACATGTGCAAACGTTCATGAATGCTTACAGCATTTGCGCGGGAAAGATTACGCAACTGGTGTCAGTGTGTTCGTAACCTCTAAAAAAAAAGGCAAAATTTTGCTCGGCCAAATGTTTGGATCGGCCCATGAAGCTGCTTCTGCGTTCAGTACAGCAACGTAAAAATTTAATTTATTATTGTAGATTACAAGCCACATAATACCAAAAGTTTAGTTCTGTCGACGGCTGAGGAAAAAGTGGATTTTTTTTAAATTTCGGGCATGTGAGAGGAAATAAACGTGACAAAAAGGCACCCAATTGCCTTAGAGAGTGGCGTTTATTTTAACCATTAACTGATGCTCATTATATGCTATATTTCTTTGTTTAGGAGGGTTCGGAGATACAGGAGAATATCATATAGAGCTTCGTGGTAGAAAAACGACACGAGAAAGCACTGACTGCCATTCAGGACATGACTCCATTCAGGGTGCATTGAGGTTTTCCCGTGTTTCAAGAATACTCTCAAGAGACGCATAAAAAATGGTGGAATCTCCAAGTCAAGTAGTTCACAAACACGTCTCGGGATTCAGTTTCAACTACGTTTGTGCAAAACCCTGATTGAAAAAACGCTGAAAAATCTGAATTTAGCACAGTTTTATATTCATTGCCTCAAAAAGCTCGGCGAACCAAGTTAAAAGACGTGAAATGCCTAAGCAGTTCTGCATTACAACGGCAAAAAGAGGTGAAAAAGATACGTAAAAAATATGTGGCTTCCAGCTGTTGAATAATCCAATGAGGTGCAACCGTTCACCAAAAAACACATTAGCACAAAAAAAAAACTGGGAAGTTTTATTTACAAGGAGTTTCGGAGGAGCAACTCAGTACCTCGTTCTGTCTAGATTCATTGCGTGGAGTCCAAGGACTGGGCTTTCTAAGACTGCGTAAGGGCCCACAGAGATTTTGAGTCTTTCTACAGAAAACTGAAGAAATGAATTTGTTTTCATACTGTCTTGTTTCGCCGTACGCAGCATCGTGTTTTTCTCCGCAGGCTAGGGCAAAATAAACATCTGGAGCTTTTTAGGAGCGAAGTTTTTTAATCTGTTGGTCGTGCGTTCTCGATGTATGTAGTTGTAGGTAGCCACTTATCGTTTTTTTTGTGAAATGTCCACTAGATGGTGGTGCTTGTATATGATGAATATATGATGAAAAGATGCGAGATGGCGGTACTTGGAAGGTTCACTAGATGGACCGATGGACGGACGGACGGACGGACGGACGGACAGACAGACAGACAGACAGACAGACAGACAGACAGACAGACAGACAGACAGACAGACAGACAGACAGATAAAAGGACGATGGACAGACGGACAGACGCGGCCAGGGGACAGACGAACGATTCATGGTTTACCGATAAAACCCTCCGAAACTTCGCCCCGCTCATCATCATTCACTCCGTGGATATTCAGTGATTCTTTATTTATTTTTAATATATTGGTGTGACTGGTGGCAACATGGCGCTCTTTGTGTAGAACATACCTTGCACACAAAGCAAGGTTACTGCATTAATTTTTTGTAAGTAGTGAAATAAAAAATATTGTTTATTACTTTAAGTTTTTGATGCATTTTACCCTGCCCTACCCTATACAAGTTTTACAATAGAGAATGTAATATCGCAGTAATGTTGCATGGTACAAGCTTACTTTGCCATCGGGTGTCAGAGCATGTCATTATCATCCCGACTCTATCGCATAAAGCCGGCCCTCTATTGCAAAAAGGCACACAGGATACTGCGCGTATTGCACAATCGAGTTTCAAAGCATGCTACCCCTTACATATAATGCGGCCATGTGCGAAAGCTTCACTGACACAAGCCACTTTCAACTTTGCGATTACATTGTAGTAATTCACAATTTACAGATCTGATGAAACGACATAAAATAAAATGAAAACATGCACCAAGTGGTTGAAGTAAGCACTAGGACAGAATACCAGCATCACGTTGAATATTTAGAGGGGAAGTTTGAGAGTGCCCCTACTTTTTATCAAATGCAAAGCATTTCTTTGCGTACTGCAAGCACTTTTGGGACCTATCTACGTAGCTCTCTCTCTATCTAGCCGCTAACATCTGCGTGCTCTCGTGATCACCATCTTAACGTGGCGTGGGCCAAAATTAGAACGGGAGGGTAAGATGGCTTGACAAATATGATGCGCTGGTCAAGACGTGAATGATGTCCCAATCCCGTCGCGTTACGTCGTCGAACATTTCCCGCCAGACAGTGCCACAAACCCGCGGGCATGCATGTGCCACAGGTGATTGACACGAAATATCTCCCCAGGAATGACGAGAACACATGAGCAATTTTAACGCGTAAGCGTTATGAAAACCCTGACACAAACCCTGTTGACCAGAAGAATGCAAAGAATAAATGTCGCGGTTCCAGGAGGAATCAAACCCAAGCGTTCTGCGTGGAAATCAAGCTTCCTACCACAGAACCATGCCAGGTTTCGGAACTATTCAAATATACCCTAATGTACGTGAAATGTCAATTGCAGTTGCAATGCTGGCTAACAAATATTAAAAACATTACATATGTACTCCGATAATACTGTCGTCACGTTCGGTTAATTTAAATTGTGATGAGGTGCCGTGTGCTCAAGTTATTTATGTAGCAGTGCCCAGGGCTGTCATTCTCGTGAACACCAGTGCCTCATGTCAGCCTATCAGGTCTGGTGCAGCTAATGTTCATGCCCTGGTTGGCATCGCTGCGAAAGTGCGAAAAACTGGTTATATCAACATCTGCAACATTCCAACGTATATTTCTACGTGCAACATTTATACATATTTTAGCGTCATTTTATGACGTGTCACTCTATAGAAAAATTACCACATGGTCACCTTCCCTCCGCATGCTTTGCATAACGTTCATTCCCAAGGTATGTGGGATCTGCCGAATTCTTTAATTTATTTATTTACTATGGACGTGTACATACCTACAATATCAGCAGTTACGCCACTGGAAGGGCAGCCACACCGGCCAAACTATATGCCCACTATACTCATCAGAAACGTCTGCGCATACATGAACATGGGTCCCCGACACTTTAATGGTGTAGCCAGGAGGGCACACTGTGGCCGTGTCCTCCACTCACTCCCCCAAATATGTTTTTCTTCGATGGAATACACAGCAAAGGAAAAAGAGACAAAAATGGCAGATCCCACGTACAGTGGGAATCGATTATATGCGACGCACGAATGAGGAAGGCTGACATGTCACTTCAAGATCAGCACAATGTTACGAGGAGGATGGACGTAGTACACAGAAAACACAACTAGAAATGTGATGCGCACTGACGTATCCAGATAACGTGCAAGTGTGCATTTAGAGTGGCGCAACGACGCCACCACTGACGTATGCTATACCGGCACCAGCAATGGTAGGCAATTAAATGATGACGTACATGTTTTCCATGTCATGCATGATTATCATCTTTGCGCCTGGCATTTGTGTTCGTAGTCCACACACGTCAAGTAATAACAAGTTTGGTATATGCGAAGTGAGCGATATGGTTGTGACCACGCTATGAGCGTAGCGGAGAAGTCATGTTTTACATGACATGCATGTCATGATTATCATACTTGGACGTGTTATTTACCTTCATCGTCTATTCAAGTAACGTAATACCAAATTTGGTATTTGTGAAGCTAGCGAAACAGCCGCGAGCACATCATGAGCGTGGTATGTAGTGATGTTCTTACACGACACGCATGTCATGACTATAATGCTTGCACTAGTCGTATACCTTTGTTATCCATTCACGTCATGTAACACTAAATTTGGTATATGTCAAGGTAGCGAAATGGCCGCGACCGCGCTATGAGGTGGAATGCAGTCATGTTTTAAATGTCAGAATGAAAAGTGGACAAAAAAATAACTTGCCACCGGCAACCTCTAAACCTGCGACCTTCGAATAAAGCGTCCGATTCTGTTTATAAACGAACTGGTTATATATGCGTTAGGGGGTTCTGGAACACTTATATAGGTGATCGTAAAATTACTTCTTTATTACCTCATGAATCGATCACTGCAAATGGTTTTAAAGTATTCCAAGTGCGAGCTGGGCTTCAGGAGTTGGTCAACGCTTGAAGCCTTGTCTGTCTCCTTTCTCGCAACAAGCGCGCTGAAAAGCTGTACAGAAATGAGGATGACAATTGGCAAGAACAACGTCTGTTCGCCAGCCGGCGTCCTAACCTTGACCACTTTCGGGTCTTTGCTCTTTTCGAACGGGCGGCTTACCTTCAGTGTGAGCACGATAGCATGTGCGGACAGTCGCGGCATCTCGCGGTGGCTGTGGTATCTATGCAACGCACAATACTCGAATCAGCAAATGTCCACAGACTTTGGGTTTATGGCATCATTAGTCAAGAGAAGTGGAAATGATTTCTAGTTGAATTGGATGAGTAATCGTGAATTCCAGGGGGTGTGCTGCACTGTAATACTTTGATCGCTTGGTCTCAACAGCCTTGACGACCGATCAACAGCTTTTTTTGACAATGCCGAAAAAAGTGTTACAGAAAACTATCACAGCCTAAGCTAGAATAACAAGGGAGCCTAAGACACGACAGACAGAGCGCTGACTTTCAAGTGAAGTGTATTGTAAAAAAAAGCTGATATATAGAGGGGGTGAAACGTAAAGAACAGCAAAGAATATAGAAAATAGGACAAAGAAATGAAAAAAAGAAATTGTCGCTCATTTTACTTGTGTGACTCATTCACACAGTACAAATGATAATTTTTTTTGGTAAAGCAATCGACTGCAGGCTCTCAACAACCTGCACCTCGTCCAAGAAAATTTCTTTTGCCACAGTTATTTTCCATGTCAACAGGGACCCGGTTCACCCGACAACTCAGCACTTATCAAAAATATGTGCTCAAATTGTGGTGTCAACCATGCTGCAGTGAAGAGCTAAGTGCCTGCCGTTCATTTGGTGTATATTGTCGTTGCGTTCACGCAAATGGTCGTTTCAGCATCTGTCGGTTGGCTCGAATGCTCTTTACCCCGTGTTTGCGAAATGTGGTAGACCATGCACTGCACAAATTCTGTATTTCGGAGGTTATGTTTTACTTGGTATTGACGTGCCTTCTTCCCGAAATACTTGGTTTAATGAGAAGCCGGAAAATCTATACGGTGAGCAATGAATGCAATGCGAACACCAATGTCTTGATCTATTTTCTTTAAACTGTGAGCTACCCAATAAAGAAAACGTCTGCTTTCTTTCTGTCACGCTCAGAAGCAGCAAGTCTGAGCTCATCCCAGCTTTGGTTAGCTCTTCAGAGTATAGTCTCAGCCACTGAAACCATCTCATGCCTAGGGCAGCCAACTATTTTCACGCAGTAAACATTTTTTTCACACAACTATTTTCACCGTTAACAATTTTTGACAGGTATCCACACACTACTTCTAAAAAGTGTTCTTGATGCAAATCTTTAAAATGTCCCCTTTCACTAACGTGGAATGTGCCGAACAATAAGGCAAAGACTTTCGTATACGTAGTTCACACGTCCAGCAGGCATGGATGAGACGGCAATGCAGAGCATGCAGTGTGAAGGATGTGCATGACTCGGTTTACGGGTTTTTCATGCTTGATTTTTATAGATCCTTCGCACTGCTGGAACACATCTAAAGTTTATTTGTTGCCTGTTTGGTTTAGCATCGCCAAAACACGATGTAAGTATGAGAGATGCCGCTGTGGAGAACTCCAAAAAGTTCAACATCCTGGGGTGTTTTGACTTGCGCCTAAAGCCAAGAACGCGGTCCCCAAGCATTTTCGCGTTCATCGAAAATGCGCCTGCCGTTGCCGGCATTAGATCTTGCCACTGGCGGTTCAACAGTGGACCAGCATTACCACCGTGACGGGTGAGGTTTCTGCCTGTGGACCTCGGTGTATGTGGTATGTGTGCGGAAACGAAGTGCTTAGAACATCATGAAAGTAACTTAACAAGTTCTTTGTCAACACTCTTTGATTCAAGTGTTTCCTTTAATACTAGAATATTCACTGGTGAGAACCTTTGACAGTTTCTTTCGATAACGAAAATTACAAATTTTCTTTCTGCAGCACATCGAAGTTTCTCACTATTTCCACCTAGCATGCAATGCGAAGTCATTTTATTGTAAAAGGAATTGTATGGGTACTCTCGACAGATTCTTGCTGCCACCACTGCTGCCGTGTGTCGTATATATATATATATATATATATATATATATATTATATATATATATATATATATAATATATATGCATATATATATATATATATATATATATATATATATATATGCGAAGAATTTGAGCGGTTTTTTATGTCATGCTACGTAACTACATCTTTTCCCAATACGATAACTCTGCCGTTGAGACGACGGCCATGAAAACGGGACATTTTCTTCACCTACTCGTGATGTACAGCAAAAAAGAAATAAAGAATGCTCAGGCCAGCTTCCGTTAAACGCCACCGCGTAGCAGGAGACGCACAAGGGCTCACTCTATGCGCCACATTTTAAGAAAAAAAAAAAAGGTAGTATCTAAGAACGTCAGGCTCTGAATAGTCAAGACTTGCAGCGCACTGCTCCAACACGAAGATTTAACATCTGTGACAGCTGTACGCGCTTGTCCTGCCCCGCCACGGTGGTCTAGTGGCTAAGGTTCTTGGCTGCTGGCCCGCAGGTCGCGGGATCGAATCCCAGCTGCATTCTTGATGAAGGGGAAAATGCTGCAGTCCTGTGTGCTCACATTTCAGTGCACATGAAAAAACCCCAGGGGATTGACATTTCACTAGGCGCCTCTCATAATCATATCGTTGTTTTGGAACGTGAAACCACACATATCACTCAGTCAATAAATCAGTCGCGCTTGCCCTGTGGATGCGCGTGCATTCATTTAGGGAGTCCTTCTTTGTGCTTCAGTGGGATTCCAAATGTTTTTAGCTGATCGTCGTTCTTCGTGTGACGTTTCCATGTATTGCTAATGCATTCACCGCTTCGTTTTATGGCGCAACTTCAACTTTTTGTGCCATTCACGATATGCTGTACGCACGACTTTATCCAATGTACAGAATGACCAGACGGGGCGTTTAACCAACGTGGCAATCGGTAATACTTTCTATATGAGTAACAGGTGGTGCACAACGTGCACGGAAACGAATGAGTAAACAGCCCTTTTATCAAGAACAAGGTGATAGCCCTAGTATGCCTTTTAAAACGTGAAAATGGACCACAGGCGTTAGAAAATTCATGCAAGAGATTACCATCAAGCGGCGATGTTAATCTATGACGTTGCTTTCGGTACTCAAACTTGTTATGATTTGATGTCATCATCAAGTCCCATAATGGCAAGTCAGATGACGACGTCATCACAAGACATGTTCACTTGGTGATAAAGGGGCCGATTTCGGAGCCACCGCATAAGCACGTGAGATCAAAACCTTGCATTGACACCTTCCACAGAGGCAGCGCAATAACACATTGTGGGGCCGAAAAGATTCAGGCGGGGAGGGAGGAGGCGACAGGTAAAATCTCTATATTTCACTGACAAAAGAAAAAGATGGTGGCTTTTAACCTTCGAGTAGTATCAGGCAAATGCTTCACGAAACAGCGCCACTTCTTAGTTTCTGTACATACAACAGATAACCAATTAGCTTTTTTATTTTTTTTTATTTTCAACAGGTGTTCATTCTTTTTGAATACAATGAAATATAATACGAACGTGCCTGTGGGTTCGCCAGGAACGTGCGCTATAGCGCAGAAGAGTAACTTGAACTCAGCATGAAAAGATACATCACAGGGATCTGAGCAAAGCCTTAGCGAGTTCGGTTTACACATATTTTTTTTTTTTGTCAGCGTTTCATCAGACGCCTCGATTCTCCAGCCCTGCAGCCATCAGATTTAACATACTCCCGCCACAAAAGAGAGCTTTTTCTCCTTCCTTTTCGCTTGGCCCAACTCCCCGCAATGATTATAATTATATAGAACGAAGCAGAGAAAAGCTCGAGACTCATTGTTGTTCTCGTGTCGAATAAGTTTGCTTATGCCATGCAGGTTCAAAGGAAACCACTTTTTTACTTGCCCTTAGAGCTCTGACATCTGTATAACCCCGCTTATCCAAGTACGCCATGTTTCAATTGAAAAGCAAAAGAAAACAATTACAGCATATCCACGGAGTGAATGATGATGAGTGGGGCGAAGCGTCCGTCCGTCCATCCGTCCATGTATCAATCAGTTCGTCCGTGCATGCGTCCGATCGCGTTCGAGAATGCGGACTGCGCGCGGGTAACACCAACGAGACGCGAGCCAAGGAAGCCGAGCGCGAACGTCTTCATTGCCACCACCGCTCTGCTTCATCCATGCACCACCAACGACCCGCCACGTACAGCTACTATCCAGGAGACTGAAAGAGGCACCCGCCTACCTCCAGGCACAGCCCATGCAGCAGCCAAATGGAGAGTAGCGGTACAGCGCCGTATGTTATATATGCTCAGTCAACTACATTTTGTATGTGCTTCTTTGAGATAGCGCCATCTGTTATACTGTTCAAGAGATACTGCCTTCTTTTCTTTCTCGTCTCTTCTTCTTTCGGTTACGCGTGACGCATGACAAGGTTATACTAGGAGGAGCTTCGCCCCTACAGCAGCTCAGTGCTTTTTGAGATTGTGCCAATGTCTTGTTTGTAATTGCTTCAGTCACCTATGTGTCATTAATGCGAAGACGGCCACTTTTTTGTTAAGTAGTCCTTCGCTTCTGCTATCCATGCTCCACTTTGCTTTTCTTGCGTTTCGAGCACCACTGTAATTTGTTGTTCACCAAAGCAGCCTCATTAGATGGTATACCCTATCTAGAACGCAAATTGCGCAGTGTCGCATGCGCTGATTGAACTATTTCACAAAAGCTATGCTCTGAAAGCAATCCGTGTGAGCCTGATGCAGCGCTCCTCATGAGAAGTGTCAATCAAAAACTGTGTTCACTGTTTTTTTTTCTTTTTTGAGGCAGTAGTTCGTTTTAATATATGAAAGAAACTCGACACTGGTGAAAATAATGAAGTAACCTCGCAGTGGTACGATGGATCAAACGAAATTAAGGGGCCCTTGCCTGAATGGGAAGACGTGGTGAGCCTGACGTACTTTTCGTTCTTTTTTTTCTTCGTTATATCTCTCAATTTTTTACAGTCAAGCTCCTTAAGCTCTCTCTCACCACTGCCCCGCCCCGGTGGTCTAGTGGCTAAGGTACTCGGCTGCTGAGCCGCAGGTCGCGGGTTCGAATCCTGGCTGCGGCGGCTGCATTTCTGATGG